GTGCTCTCCTCGTTCGGCTCTGGAATGCACCGGCCTCGCAGCCAAGCCCGGCCCCTCCGCGCGGCGGGGGAGGGACTGGCCCGGGAGGAGGAGCGCCGCCCGGCGGCCCTGGCGCCCGAAGGGCCCGGGTTAGGGGGGCCGGGGGGCCCTCCCACTGCCGCCCGGGCCCTGAGGCCGGAGGCGGGGGGAAGTGGTGGCCCGGAGCTGCACCAGACCTAGCGGGCACCTTGACTGGTCGGAGGATCTTTGGACTTGGGCCTCTGCAGAGAGCGGCGTGAGGGGCTGGGTGCTGAAGTCAGTGGGAGCGTCTACCACATCCCCGCCCCCCAGCTCCGCCGGTCTTCCTTGCTTTTGGTTCGATCTTTCGACTTGTCTCTGAGGCCCATGAAAGAGAACCAGGATTTGGGGTCTCCGTTTCTCCGGTTCCTTCCCGCTTGAATTGTCTGCTCTTTTCTCGTGACTTGTCTAAGAGATGGCCTCAGGGTCACTCAGCAGCTGCCTGGCTGCTGTTACCTGTGGGAGCAGGCTGTGAAAACCAAACGTGCCAACATCAAGCATTTATTGCTACAGATGCGTGAAGTCAGAGATGTGGTTCCCAAAGACTGGCCCTGGCGTGTCTTTGGTTATGTCCAAAGTAGGCCAGTCCATCTTTGATGGCCCTTGCTGCTGTCTGCTAGCCAGGGGAGTTTCTGTTCCCCTTGCCTTCCCTGATCAGTTTGCCTTTCCTCACAGCACTTGATTTCACTTCGAAGCAGTTCACACCTATCACCACAGGGCCGGCCAGAGGAGTGGACTTGCACTGAGTAACTTTTCAGTGTTGCTGACGTGCAACACACCAAGGTGGCTTTTTCCTTCTTACCCATGGAAGACTAGCTCATAGCCTGAGTTGGACTAGCTCTGTTAGGTTTGACCTTTTAAGAGCAAATTAGCTATTACACTTCAGCTACCAGGCTTAATTAGTACATAAATCCCAGAGTGTGAGAGAGGAGTTTTAATTCAATTTAACAAGTCTTTTTGAAACCCTAGTACATAAAAACCAGAAACAAGCAAACTGTGTCAGAGTAAAACTGTGCTCCATAGGGTTTTTGGATGGCTGATTTTTCTGAAGTAGTTTGCCAGACCTGTCTTCTGAAGTGGACTTGAATCTGCAACCTTTCAGTTAGCTGCTGAACAGGTTAACCATTTGTGCCACCCAGATGCATAGCACTATGATAAGCAAGACATTCTTGCAGAACTTGAGAACTTGAATTTTACTGGGGAAACAAGGCTTGCCCTTAAGAAACAGTGATGTATCGTAACAAAGCAGCAAGTTCTTCTTCAGGGCAGAGACCTTATTCTATTTAGTCTGTCTCTCCAAAGCATCTAGTGCAGCACCACATGCATACTAAGCACTCAGAAACCTGCCAAAATGAGGTGTACAGAGAGTGTGCTCCAGGAATTTATAGCAAGGAGACATCAGTGTGGGTAGAAGTGGAGAAGGTGGGACTTGAGTGATTAGGAAGAGTTAGAAAAGTTGAGAGGAATAGAAGGGGCATTACATGGGAAGGAAACCATGAATATAGCTCAGAGCATGATCTGCCTGACTATCAGGGCATAGCAGGAGATAAGTAGGGAAACTGATAGGTGAAAAGCCTTGAACGACACCGGGGTGGGGGGGGGTGGTAAAGCTTACTTCTATTGGCTATACGGAAAGGGTGCCAATTTTTGATCAAGAAAGTGTTATGTTTAGGGATATTAATTGGTTGACATGAAGATGGTATGAGGGCAAGAGGCTAGAGGTAAGGGACTATTTGGAGGGAAGTTGATGGTGATTTATGGAAGAAATGGGAATAGACTATGTCATCAGGCATAATATTCCCATTGGAAAAATAAAACATCATGACCTACTTCAGTTCTTTTTTTTTTTTTTTCTGTAATTTAAATGTTATATATGCCCAAGTTAGAGCTACAGAGAAAGTTGCCTTGGTGTCTGCTACCACTTGGGTGCTTTGCTTTGTGAACCTTCTCCACTTATTTTCTATCTGGTTGTTACTGCGGCCGCTTTGAAGCGTTTTCTCAGTTTTTCATGTTATCAGGGAGAAACCTACACAAGTGCCAGCAATCCCTTACTTCTCTGCTTAAAAATGTAAGTAGATAATTCCGCCAGTATGAAGACACTACCGTTCCTTGTCTAGGCACAGCAGGGATTTCTTGGGAAGTATGTTGTATTAGAGTCAGTGGTTTACAATTGCTGCTAACCTAAAGGTTGGCTGTTTGAACCTACTCAGGAGTTCCATTAAAGAAAGGCCTGGTGAACTGCTTCTGTAAAGATTATAGCCAAGAAAACCCTGTGGAGCAGTTCTACTCTGTAACACAAGGGTTCACCATGAGTCGGGGGCTGAGTCCACAGCAGCTAACAACCTTTACATTGAAGATAGAAGAGGGTGAATTGAGAAGATTCTAAAGTGTTGTCTTCCTTTCAGAATACTCTTCCCTTCAGGGTAAGGAAGGAGATAATTAATTTCTCAGCTTTGTAGGTGTAAGTACGCCTACCTACCAGGCTTCAGTATCCCCTTCGGGAATCCTGCTGGCCTAGGCAAAAGGCAGCAGGGAGACAGATTGGAAAAATTCTCATAGTCCTGTCATAGGCTAAAGGGCCAGGGGGGCCAGGTTCCCATCCGTGGCAGCTGCAACAGTAGCCATGGCTCCGCGTCTAAAGTGCCAGTGCTGTTCCCCAGCTACAGAAGGAAATGGAAAGAGAGTCAGGAATCCTGTCCAGCAGCAGCTTTGAAAGAGGAAGGAAGTCTTTAGTGGGCACTGGGGAAAGAGAATTTCCTGGTGGTTCCTGAATGGCATTCAGTGTTCTGGAAAAGCTCATCCATCCCCTCCTGCAGGCACACCAAGATTGCCGGTGTCTGTTAGAGACTCCTCAGAGCGACCTAACACACTCTCGGCCTCTGATGGCCGGCTGCAGAGTACTCCTCTCCTGAGCTGAGCCACCTCCCACCCAGTTCCTCAAGAGTCTTAACCCGATCTACATGTCATGACACAGTCCTTTTGTCAGGGCCATGAGAAGCTGTCCTGTGTTGACAATGCATTACAGTACCTAGTTTGCTACAAGTGGCTTCTTGATTTCTGAGTCATTCTCACAAACTATTTTGGCGTTCTGAGGTCACACACTCGATGATGACTCTCTGTCATCTGCCACTGGGTCCTCCATTCAAAGAGGAAGGACATGAAAGCATCCATGGGCTATCCATGGGTATCCTCAAGACCTTGGTTACCTGCTTATGGTTCAGAGTGTCAAACTGGCCAGAATTTGGAGCATCACTGTTGCAGCACTCCAGTTTTCTTTCTTCTTCCAGTGTTTTCTATTTTGCAACTAAGAGCATCAAGTCAAAGGGAAAGGGTAAAATGGGAAAGGGGCTAGATAAGAAACCTGAGAGAGGCTGCATATAAATTTGGAGTTAGAGACCTGAGTTGAGCCTTTCTAGCCAACTGACTTTGAGAAGTTTATTCTGAGCCTCAATTTCTTGCTTTATAAAAAAGAGGACATTACTACTTAGCTATAAGGAGTCTAATAAGGATTGCTGGAAACCCTGGTGGCATAGTGGTTATGAATTCAGCTGCTAACCAAAAGGTCTGCAGTTGAATCCATTAGGCGCTCCTTGGAAACCCAATGGGGCAGCTCTACTCTGTCCTGTAGGGTTGCTATGAGTCAGAATCAACTTGACGACAATGGGTTTTTTTTTAAAATAAGGATTAGCGTGAAGTAACATGAGAAAGAGCTTGGTCTTCAGGTGCTTAATAACTGTTGCTTTCACTTCCGTCCCTTTTCTTCCATCTCCAAGATCCTTCTTATGGTGCCATTTCAGTGGTTTCTGGAAGTCCAACCAGTAGCCAACATGGTAGAAATGTGGTTGCTGGAAAAGGGTAGTCCTATTGTATTCCTGTCTGGAACTGCAACTGTGATATCAGGTTTTAGGTCTTTTCCAGGTAGTGATATTCTGTTTTCAGTCTATGGAATGTAGCTTTCCTCTTCTTGGTAAAAGTACTTTCACCCAGCTGCACAGGCCAAGAACCTTGGAGTCCTCCTTGGCTGTTCTCTTTCTCTAACATCCCACACCCAACCCATCAGCAAATCCTGTCAGCTCCACCTTCAAAATATGTCTTGTCTCCAACTACTCATCACCTCCATGGCTGCCACCCTGGTCTGAACTACCATCATCTCTCACCTGGGTCCCTCTAAGAGCTTCCTCACAGAACTCCCTGTTTCCCCTTGCCCTCCCACAACCTATTCTCCCCAGGCACAAGGGTGATCCTACTAAAACAGAAGTTGGATCATATCATTTCTGTGCTCAAAAGTCTCTGATGGCATCTCATGACACTTAGAATAAAATCCAAAGATCTCATCATGGCTTCAACAAGGTCCTGCTGATCTCCTGGATCTCATTTCCTGCAGCTTCTTTTCTAGCTCACTCCACCTCCAA